AGGAAGGGCAGGCGCGTAGCCAGGGGGGGGGGGCGGTGGGGCGGTCGCCCCCCAAAAACGGCTCAAATATTGGCACGCAAAATGGCTTAAATATTTCCAAATTTTCGGGGGGGCATGCCCCCAGACCCCCTATCAACTGGCATGGCTACGGCACGTGCAAACGTACGGTTGTCAAAATTTTGCCATGTGCGTGCAATGTTAGTATGCATGTATAAATGTATGTACGTGTGTGTGTGTGTTTGTGTGTTCGTGGTTGTGTGTGTGTGTGTGTGTGTGTGTGTGTGTGTGTGTGTGTGTGTGTGTGTGTGTGTGTGTGTAGTGCTGTTGTGGCGTGTGTGTGTGTGGTTGCATGTGTTCATCGTGCAGCAAACGCGCAAAGCATTATAGGTAAAAGGTCTCGGCAGCAGAAATCAAAGATAAAAGAAATTAGACAGGGAATTGTATCATTATAAATCCAGCTAATCCATCGAATATGCACAGTACCAGTGTTTAAAAAAGATACAAGAAGGTAAGTGAATATACGACGTGAATGTGATGTCAATACGACGTGAATGTGATGTCAAGAAAAACTTCCATTTTTGACCCTCTGTTGATGGTTAGTTGACGTCGACGGTTGACGTCCCACTGGTATTTTTTGCCCACCGCGCATGCATGCATGTATGAAGAGGAGCTATGTAGCCTAACCTTGCACGCTTGTGTCGTCGGCAGGTGAATGCCACACGTCCGTCGGCGAAGCCATCAGCAAGCTGACGTCACGCGCGCTCCGCTGCTGGAACGAGAGCCAGGAGTTGTCGCGTTACCTTGACAACGACTTCTACCTGCTGCTGATCGAGAGTCAGCTGGAGGAGCCGGTGGCCTTCCTCGGAACGACGACGGGTCAGCTGAACCGCATGCAGCGGGAGGTGCGCGCTCTCACCGCGCAGGCGCCACTCTCCCGTCGCCAGCTAGACCGCCTTGTCACCCGCATAGAACGCACGCGTGACGCCAGCGTCGCACAGTCGCTACAGACGACAGGTATAGTGGACAGGTGAGTGAACCATGAAGCGTCGCTACAGACGACAGGTATAGTGGACAGGTGAGTGAACCATGAAGCGTCGCTACAGACGACAGGTATAGTGGACAAGTGAGTGGAGCATGAAGCGTCGCTACAGACGACAGGTATAGTGGACAGGTGAGTGAACCATGAAGGCAGCGTCAGTTCGGCTTGTGCCAGGCACGCTACCGCGTCTGTAAATATTGCCTCCAGGGACAATAAAGTGCAAGTCTTTGCTTTACAAAAGATGATGAACTGTAATTTTTGGTTAAGCATTACATTCAATGAACCGATGAGATTGTTCGCGTTAGGAGCGAGTTGTTCTGGGAGCAAGCCGACAAGCTGCTAGTGATACAGCTGGAGGCGAACGCCAGCTATCATGATAAAGTTGCCGACGTACAGCGCTACGCCAATGCCTCAGACAGACAGCTGCAGCTGCTGCACATCTCCGACCATGAGATCACTCTGAACTTTACTCTAGAGCAGCAGGTAGAGAGAATGAATGAATTAATGAATAAATAAATGAATGAATGAACTAATTTAATAATGAATATAATAATGATAACTATTTCATTGACGAGTAAGTTTTACTAACCGAGGCTGACCTGACCTGATCACCTGATGGGCAATACTGTAATACTCATTCAACACAATGATTAATGATAATAATTATAATAATTATAATAATATAAACTAATTAAATACTTGATTTTCCGCAGCAAGTCTCGGCTGAGGTCGACAACGTTCGCGGGGTCCTCGAGGACATCAGTGCGTTGCGGAAACTCGCTACCGGCCTGGAGAGCAAGGTCAACGAAACCCGGACCCTAGGTGAAGCCCTGCGAACGCTGCTGGAGGAGATGGTTGCTAACGTGACGGAGCGTCATCGCGGCGTGCTGCAGACACAGCTGGAGACGGTGCAGATAGAGCAGCTACTCGCTGTCATACACGCGAAGGTTTGTCATGATTCCTATACTCACGATAAAACATAGTAGCCGAGGAAGTACGGAGAGACAGAGACACTAGGCTATTGTGCTTGACTTGACATTCGATTTTTGTGCTAGACTTGACACTAGCATTTTTTGCTTGACTTGACACTAGCTTTTGTGCTTGACTTGACACTAGAATTTGTGCTCAACTTGACACTGGAATTTGTGCTCGACTTGACACTCGACCTTTATGCTTGACTTGATACTAGAGCTTTGTGCTTGACTTAACACTAGACTTCTGCACTAGATTCACACTTTATGTAAAAGACGACGTTTGAATGTATGAATAAGTGAATGATTCCCTGAACCCTTGTGCGAGTAGTCACGGGGCAGTATTCATCGTGAAACATCTCATTCAGATGGAGCAGGTGGATGGGATCCTTGCTGAAGCTCTCGACCTTCTCAATGTCACCTCCATGATCAGCAGCACGTCGCAGACGATCTACCGCAACGCCACCTATATGCTCATTGACGCAGACGACATCCTGGAGGAGTGGAAGCGAACAACGGGTCGGCTGAAGGCAAGAACCGAGAGCCTGGGGAAGATGATCGGCGAGGTGAACGACCAGGTACGTGCAGCACACAGGTAGACAGGTAGACTCTAATTTACATACACACGGACACTGTCTCTCATTCTCACACACGTATACTACACAGCTTCTAATAGTTCTATGCTCCCATGCACAGACTCTCCTCTCTCTCACATCTGTAGGTGAGTGCTGCAGGTAACTCCTCTCTCTCACACATCTGTAGGTGAGTGCTGCAGGTAACTTCTCTCCTCTCTCTCTCACATCTGTAGGTGAGTGCCGCAGGTAACTTCATCGCCGAGCTGGAGGCAGATTCCAGAGACATCGCAGGAGAGTTTGATTCGGTCGCCCACATCGGCAGTGAGGCGGTCGACGCTATGACGTCATACACGGCGGCGCTCGTGTCCGTGCAGACGACGGAGACTCTCGCTGAGCAGGCGGACGCCGCCATCACCGCCGCGCTGTCCGACGCTGCCGACGTGCCGGCGCTGACGGCGGACGCTGCAGACGCGCTGGCGCGGGCGCGCACGATCGCAGACAACAGCACGGCGACGCCCATCAACGTACCGCGGCTGCGAGACGACATCGCCGCCGCTAACGCATCCGCGCACGCGCAGCTGGCGACGTGGCGACGTGACGTCGTCGCAGGCGTGTCGGCGCTACGGCAGCGTGCCGGCGGCGTGGAGCACGAGGCGACGGGGCGGGCGACGCTCACCAGGGCTCACGTCACGGCGAGGATCGTCGACGCCGCCCAGGCCACCGCCGTCAGGATCGCGCGCGAGCAGGACGACGGTGGCGCCCTCACGCGCATGGAGCGCATCGTCGACGCAGCGGGGGAGGCGAGCGCGGACGTCGTGCAGCGCATCATGTCGCTGGATGAGGCGGCGACGTCGCTAGGAGCGCGCGCGACCCGCGTCGTCGCCACCGTCGCCCGCGCGTCCGAGACGCTGCAGCACGACGACGACGCGGCGACGACCATCATAGAGAAGATGCGGTCGATCGAGCGGAAGCTGTCTCGCGTCGTCAGCACCGCCGCGGCGCTCAAGCGGCCGACGCTGCTAGACAGTGGCGCCACCGCCCTGCAGTTCAACATTGTCCACCGCTCGCCCGTCCACAACCAGGTGGCGCTCGAGTTCCGCGCGGAGAACATCAGCTTTGACGCGCTGCTCTACTTTGCCGAGGAGCGGCAGGGAGGTGGCGCCATCTACCTGCAGCTGATCAGCGGCCGGCTGCATTTGGGCTTCCACGCGAGAGAGGGCGCTACGGTCAACGTGACGAGCGAGGCGCAGCTATGCAGTCACTGCTGGCTTCACGTGCACGCGACACGCTTTGCCGACAAGGCATTCCTGACCGTCGTGGATCTACAGACGGGCCGACAGACGACCGGATACGCACAGACGGACGACGCGTCGGTGCGTAACGTCACCATCACGTCGCCGGCTTACGTCGGCGGTCTGCCCGCCAACTACGTCACCAACAAGCCGGTCACGGCCGAGCGTTTCGTCGGCTGTCTGTTTCAGCTGGAGGTGGACGACCAGCCGGTGAGTCTTCACAGGTCAGTGACGCCACCGCCGACCGACCCGACACGCTGCTGCGTGGCGCCCCCTATGAGGCAGCGCGACGACGCGTGGAACGTGCGGTGCGATGATCAGGACTGCTCTCAGGCTGTCCGCTTCACAGGCATTCACTCCTACCTACAGATGGAGCCACAGGACATCGAGGTCGGAAACCGGTCCGAGTTCCTGTTCGACTTCACGACGCATTCGTCGAACGCGCCGCTCGTCATCGTGAGAAGCGACAACGGCGCGGAATACTTACTGTCGCTCACTGCCGGTCGCGTGTCGCTCTCCATCAGCAAGCCGAACGCCACCACGCTGCGCATGCGCACGCGTGGCGCCAGCTACGGCGACGGATCGTTCTACCAGCTTCACGCGCGACACAACTCGAGCGTCGCGTCGCTGCGGCTGTCCTACCTCAACGCGACGTCGTCGGCGGTGGTCGAGGATCTTCATGCTGCCGTCCGCGGTCGGCTCGCTCGCTTCCCCGCCCTCCCGCGGTTCTTCCTCGGCGGCGATGGCAGCAGCGGTGGCGCTAGCTTCGCCGGCTGCATGCGTCACTTCTACCACGGCACGGCGTTCCGCGGCGTGACCCCACGCGACCTCGACGCCCTTGTCGTCGCGTCCGCCGGCGTCTCACGTCACTGCGCACACCCGACCGTTGTCGGCGTCAGTTTCCGTGGCGACGGATCGTATGCGCAGATGAACGTCAGTTCCGGGGTCACGCTTGCTGACCTCTACTCGTCAAGGGTCACCTTCAAGACGCGCGCGCCGAGCGGCGTTGCCCTGTTTGCTACCGACGCCGACGGCAACGCCCTCTATGTGGCGCTCTACAATGGCGACGTCTTTATTCAGATCGTCGTCGCGTGGACGCAGCTGCTGCAGCCGATCCGCACGGCCGGACTCGGACTCGACGACGGTCGCTGGCACACGGTCCAGTTTGACGCTGGAGACGCCATCCCTGCACTGATGGTTGACGGCGTGCGATACATACACACGCGGCCCGTGCAGCTGCCACGCGGGCCGGCTGTCGAGGTTTACCTGGGGGGCACGCCCGTGAGGGTCATCAAGCAGAGGGAGCTACCTGTCACCAGGTCGTACCGCGGCGACGTCACCTCGATGTCCGTCAACGGAAACCGGATCGACCTTGCCGATCCGGAGACGGTTCTGGAATCCGAGGGAGTGGCGATCGACGCCGTGTTGCCGGCGGCGGACAGTGCGCCACCTGCCGACAAATTCGTAGCGATCGTATCGTCCGAGTGCGAGCCGGTGGAGCTCAGCAACATCACCGTACCCGGACTACGATTCGGACGCGAGCGCGGCAGTCACGCGGTGTTCAGCGTGAGAGGATTCGGCAGCGACCCGCTGCGCTCCATGCTAGTGCTGACGATGCGGTTCCGCTCGCTCGCACCGAGCGGCGTGTTGATGTACGCGGCTAGCAGCCTGCGCATCCCGCGCGACTACATGTGTCTCTACCTGCAGGAGGGTCGTCTCGTGTTCAGCATGCAGACGTCGCCGAGGGACCGACGCACCGAGCGACTCGCCAGCAACAAGAAATACGCCGACGGCAACCAATGGGAAGTCAACGTTGTCCGCATGAACAACTTCGTTGCCATGGTGGTCACGGAGGCGCGTGATTACGTGAACAACGGACTCGATTCCGAGCGCGATGCGTCGTCGCTCGTGCAGCCCGACCTCTACATAGGTGGCGTGCCGACGTCGGCGCGCACCCCGTCGCTGCTAGCCGACGTTCCGGCGCTGCAGGGCTGCGTCATGCAGGTAACGGTCGGTACTACGGAGCGGACGCGCGCGCTGCAGCTGCAGGACCCGGTGACGTCATCCGGCACGGCAGCGTGCGCTGCGAGCGAGCGAGCCGGTCTGAGCTTCGGTGGTGCGGGCTACGCCGTCGTGTCGTCGCGCTTCACGCTGGGCGCATCGCTCTCCTTCACGCTCGTCCTACACGCGCACAACGCCTCCGCCCTCCTGCTCTACGCCGCCACCTCGCCGACCGACTTCCTTGTCGTCGACATCAATGCGACAACGGCGCGTCTGTTGCTAAGCAACGGCGCGCGCGACGCGTACGAGACGACGGTGGGTCTGCGGGGCGGCCCGCTGTGCGACGCGCGTGAACACACCGTCACGGCCGACATGAACACTCGCTCGGTGACGCTGTCTGTAGACGGACTCGCCGAGGAAACGACCTTCAATAATGGCTTCTCTCTCGTCACCCTCGCCAGCCGGCTGTACCTGGGAGGAGCGCCTCCTGGTGGCGGCGGCGTCACGGGAGACCGGCTACCTAACGCTGAGGCTCCGGATTTCTCCGGCTGCGTGAAGAGAATGGTGCTGAACGGCAACGACGTAGCGCTGCACGAGCTGCGGAGAGAGAACGTCGACTATGGATGCGTCGACCCGGCCGCCGACACTCGCTAACGCTCCCACGCGGAGACAGCAAGACAGCAAGACAGCTGGTGTGCTGAGTTAATACACAAGCGTTTCACCACAAAGACACTCACAACCAGAATGGTTATGAGCCGCGGAATGTCACCATACAACATGCGTGATGAACTGTGTGTGTGAAGCCGCAGCAGCATCCATCCAACACCAACTATGTACTCGGTCGCCCAAAACATCGAACTACATATTATCTACACCAGATAGAGCGCTGGAATTCCATACAGACAGCCTATGCTACCTGAAGGTGGACGAGAGTAATTAAAGCAGGCTCGTGGGTTAGCAGAAGCAGTAACCTCTGACATAAAGAAGCTGTCGACAGAAACTTGAGTGCTGCAGCAACCAGCTTCCCTCCAACCGCCTCTGTTCGCGATATTTTATGAGAATGGAACTCAATATTCTATATATATATATAGGAACCATACGTAGTTAGAAGAGAGCTTATTATATAGTGTTGTATTGATTAATTTGTTATGTGAGCTGCACATATATGTATAGGGTACAGAGGATTTTGCTAGTTGGTAAAGAGTAAGGTCCTTAGGGACACAAACTTCTATTATGTACTAACCTCGAAAAGTATCTGGAATGTAATATGGAAAGTAGTGGTAATACCAGGATAATGGTCTCTCTCAATAAAAAATCCGTTTCTTGCTGTTGCGTGTTAGATATGTGAGATATTTCATAGCTGTAAAAAAAAAGCACATATATGACAAGACTCGTTTCTTATTGAAATCGTACTTTACTATCAAATTCTCATGGTAATACAGCAAGGTTGAATAAGCAACATGAACAAATAATATCTTACAAATGCTGCATGACTTAACGCATCATTCATATTTACTTCAATATTCAATTTAAACCATCTCGAATCCTTACCAGCCAATGCTGTGAAAACATATCAGGAGTGTATAATATAAAGATGTGCATCATCTCTATATTATACCAGGGTTTCTTCTTCGGGAGAATTGGACAAAGGAGGTTTGGGAAAAAAAGGCGCATGATGGATTCCAATACAGGATGTTTTGATATACTTATAGGTATATAGATACAGGATATACTTATCAGTAAATACAGGATGTATTGATATACTTATAGGTATATAGATACAGGATATACTTATAGGTATATAGATACAGGATATACTTATCAGTAAATACAGGAACATCAGTCACAACTGCGATGTTAAATTTGACAAAGGCGGTGCGCCACTGTGCCTCTTGTGTATAAGAAACCCTGTATACTCTTCTGATATTATTAACGTAAATTATTTGGCACACGCAATGTGTGTAATAGAACTGAAATGCAATAACATGCAACATTTATTATTTGTATTCATTTATCGACCCAAAATTGGATAACATTTCAACGTTACGTAATTAGAAATAATACATTACGTAAATTGGAAACAACAATACACAATTAGAAATAATGCATTGACCCCCCTTTCAAGATCACATTTCACGATGGGGGGCACTCGTATGGGAATGTACAGTCTAACAATATACAGTCTAACCTCTCTCCATATCTTACATGCTCGCCCTCCTGCACCTCTCTCTATGTTCTGTATGCGTGAGCACGCATATAAAACAGTGAACACCTTCATCAGTTCAGTGCGTCTCCTGCTAGTGAGGGAGTCGGCTCATCTTCGCGATGGTACTTATTAATGTGGTAGTTCATCGAGTTACGCTGCCGGCAGACAAACTCGCAGCGATCACATTGCAGCGGTTTCTCGCCCGTGTGCCGCAGCATGTGAACCTTGAGGTGCTTCGTATCGTAGAAGGCGCGCTGACAGCCGGCGTACGTGCACGGATAGTCGCGCGGACGCACCGCCAGGTGCACGTTGGAGTGCCGCGTCAGATGATGGAGGTTGTCGAACGCGCGGCCACAAGTCGTGCAGGAGTGAATCCGCATGCCGTCGCCATGCCTGCGGCGGCGATGGCTAAGCATACCCTGATAGCACGACAGCACCATGCCACAGTCGTCGCACTTGACCGACTCTCCGACGTGAATCCTCCTGATGTGCTTCCCCAGAGCCACTGGCGTCGGGAACATTTTCGCGCAGTACTCGCACATGAGTTCCTTGTTGATGCTGCTGCTGTTGTTGCTGCTGCCACAGTCCTGCTCGTGTTTCGCCACGTCCGCCCGCAGCAGGAGGGAGTGGCAGCGCTGACAGGAGTCGACGAGCGCGGGAGCGGCCGCATCCTTGCGCAGCTTCTTGGGATCGTATGAGCGGGCGCGCACGACCAGAGGGTTAAACCGTCTGCGGGCGGCGTTCTCTGGCGAGACAACCGTGTCATCGTCATCGTCATCACTATGGTCGTCGTCGTCGTCGTTGCTGTCGTCATAATCGCCGTCACTGTCGTCACAATCATCGTCATCACATTTCTTTGCTTTGTCCTGCGGCTTCCACTCATCCTCCTCAGGCTCCGCATCGCACGATTCTGTGTCTATTATGCTGCTGCGTATGAATTTCTGAACCTTGCTGGAAGCCTGTCTTGGACGTCTATGTATCCATTTCGTCGTCGGTTCCTCTTGCTCATCGCGAAGCATCAGCTCGAGTAGCGACGTGTCAGAGTCACTTTCGTTTTCATCGCCTATGTCTTCGTAGATCTGTATGGCTTCATTATCTGGATCTACCACGTTGCCTTTGCCACCTGGTACATTCTCATCTGCTGCTGGATAGTTGCATGGTGTCGACTTCATCACCTTCTTAAACTCCGCATCTGGCGCCTTTGCGTATCTATGATCAGCAATAGATGATACTGTCTTGCAAGAGTATGTGGGGTTACTAATCGCATTATTGCTCTCAATTTCAACGAGTGTGGACTCGTCAGCATGAATATTAGACATACGGGCTTCTTGACAGAAAGGCTTGAACGTTTTACTTTCATTTTCTTTGCCTAGAAAAACAACCAAAATGGTGTTTCACTGTATTGTTTAAGAGGGTAATTGCATCACTTCTTACATACTACATACTTCACATAACAAATGGTTAATTTACCTTCTAAACCTCTGTACTGTGTGATAATCTCCATGCTCCCTCTAACGTTGCTGCTAGCTAGATTGATTATGCTATCACCCTGCAGTTCTTCTGACTCATCCGCTGACTGCAACCCTTCTCCCGCATCACAGATGCTTTCATGGTCTGATGGATATATGCTGAAATTGGATAAAAAATGGTATTGATTGTTTTTGTAGAGAGATTGATTTAGGTGTAAAACAATTCTATATATTTTCACGAGCAGTAGCAGTGGCATATTAGATTGTCTGAGAAAAATAGATATGTTGTCTAGTAACTAGTACTAGACAGTTAGTAAACATACAATGATATCTCCAGATGTTTGTCTGAGCTGGCTCGCCACGTAAGTTCCCTGGGAATGATGTCAGTCTGGGGGTGAACTTCAGACACTCTACAGTAAAAGCAAAATTGACATTTATACAGTTCACAATTGCATCAACATTCACTATAACTGTAAATTGTTAATTCTGTAAACCGATCACGTGTAAAGAAGTAGGCTGTATACGCCATGTTTTTCACGTATAGATATTTTCGCGAATTCAGACTTGACGGACAATTTCGCGGTCGGTGAATTCCTGAATCAGTGAAAAACAGCACTGTGTTATTTTCTTGTGTTGTTATTTTCGCGGTCGGAGACTCGTTCGCGAAATTCGCGAAAATTAAACCACGGCCAAATATACAGCGTATACAATGCAGTACATGTACGTGAAAAACATTACATGAAAATGTCCCATTGGCGTGCACGTAACATATAAGTTTAAATACCATAAAGCATTGCTGTGTCATATTTTTCGTAATGACCAATTGGATATCTAGCCACCACTTCAAATTTTTAAGCTCAAAATCAGTGTCAGTACTCACTTTGGCGACACAGAAGATATTTTTGTGTAGTCCACATCTGGAAGGGATACATGTGGCCCCGAAGGTGTAGAAGTTAGTCCACAGGTAGGTATAGGCGTAGACAGTAGTGCAGTTCTAGCCGGCGAAATAGCTGCCAATGGCACAAACGGGCCTGCTTGAAGTTGAAATCTGTCATACCTGCCAAATGTAGGCATAACAATAACAAACAATAGCATAACAATAGTCCAATGTCCAAATAACAACGTCCAAAGGTTTGTCGCGCCCGGCACCGCAGGGTTCGAATTTCGGCTGAAAATCTAGTGGACAGCAGGACCACCAACTTCAGAAAGTTGGTGGACCTGCACAAAAATTTAAACCACCATTGGCATTAAAACAGCATACACGTAACTTAAAATTAGAGTTGGTCAAATAATGTTTCAATCTCTAGGAATGTCGGGGGAGCTTTTGGATACCCCGTCTACGTTGAGGAACGGGTCGTATTATGCGCTCCCATTTACAAGTCTGTCTAAACTGCCGTTGCGATAACCGTAGTATTTCAGCGTAATGAGGAGAAAAAGTGCCGGTCAGGAGGACCGGCAGTTTCGTAGAGATGGTGGCCCGAGCAAAAACTTAGAGGGCTAGGGCCTCCAGGTCGGAACTAATTTCGAACGCTGCTGACGGCACGGGAGCGATTTTTTCTCGTATCTTCCAAAATTTTCGCTCTCGTAATTGTTGTTACCAGTGCACTTTGAAAACTGATGGGAGCGAAATCGCTCGCCGCTCCCGTGTATTTTTTCGCTGCACTACAGATTTAGTAGATACAGAAAGTAGTAGATATACTTAGTCTAGTGTAGTGTGAATACACTTAGACGCTTACCTACGCATATTACGCATACATTCACAACAATGTCCGTACATACCCATCCATAAGAACTTTTGCAAAGTCCTCATCACTTCTGTCTTGCCTTAGCTTGTGCCATCGGTTATACTGACTTCCCAATATTCCCTTCAAAGCATGCCTATGTCTGCGCTCCCCCTGCTTTCTTTTCTTAGTGGTAGGAGAGAGAGACGGAGGACCTCTTTTCCCCATCTTTTGCTGTAACCCTAAACCGAAAGACTTATAAAACAATTTGACCAATCAGAGCGAGTCTTACACGTGAATAAAATATTTCCTCTAGCCCTACGCCAGCGCCACAGATACAAGCAGACAACCACGGTCTGTTTGTACAAGGAACTCGCCTCGTATGGTATCGAATTGGTACAATGGCAAATCTGGAATTAGTCAAGTGAAAGGAAGCGGGTGACTGAAAAATCATCTTTCAAGAACGTGAAGCTATACACATATCAGTAGCAAAGGTAACGCTCAGTAGAAAGGAACGGTACTTTTTGCGCAATACGCAGGTGTACGGGCCGCATTAGAGCGCATGCATTTTGCAGCTGATCTAATGAAATTTCAATGGCACCGTTTTGTCCAGATTAACGCATTCCAAAATATAACAGGCTGTTGGCTACGCGAACCTGCGTTCGGACGAGGAGCTGCCCTAGGGCTACTGCGTCCGGACATCCATCTCACATATGAGCTTGCGAGAGCACGTACACGGCAGTGAGGTGTGTGCTACAATGGGACGCTCTGCTGATTGGCCTGCTGAGGGGGGATGATGTCTCTGACGTGTGTTGGAGAGAGAGAAGAGAAGACGAGAGAGATGGGCAATAGCGGAATTTGTTACTGTGTGTGTGTGTGTGTGCCGTGAGAAGGGGGGAGTGAGAGAGAGCAGAGAGAGAGAGATGGAGGGCGACGCTCAGAGAGGTTTGTGTGTGTGTGTACGGAGACGAGAGATAGAGCCTCAGAGAGGGTGTGGCTGTGGACAAAGGGGTGTGTGTGAGAGAGCAGAGAGAGAGAGAGCAGAAAGCGAGAGGGGAAAGGCCTCGGGTGCGCTGTTTAAGATAGCAATAAGGTAAACCCAAACCAGAGAGGAAATGGAGGACGTTTAACAAGCCTCACCTAATCCTTTTTGTGGGAGGAGATGCCCGAGGTGGATGACGATCTCGGAGAGAACGGTTGTTGCTAGGCCGCTTGCGGTGTTTCAGAAAACTAGGAACTTCCAAACTGGGTTTATTCTCAACAGCGAACCTTTCTCCGCTATCTGGGAACTACTATGTATCGGGCATACTCTGGTATTGAAACTAATAGTAACCTGTTACAAGAAATTCGAGTTTAGTGTGGGGACGAGGCGGCTAATATACGTGAAAGCGCGCATTTACATTGGTTGACGCTGGCTGGCGACGTACGGGCAGTTTCCCAGATGGGCGGGGCAGTAGCGAGGGCAAGAACGCCAAGGCGCCCTCCGATTGAGGTCGGTGAATCGCTCTTCAAACCGAAGGTGACGTCCGACAGGTCTCAACAGGGGTTATGAGAACTAAGTCGCTCGCGAACCGCTCGGCGCCGGGAGGCTTAGTAGAAATCGTGAGAGGAAGGGTATAAGATAGAATGATACTGGTTCTGACAGCCCTGTTGGGCGAGTGAATATTTATAATATTCATAAGCGCGGGCTGTTCATGTTTACATACGGCCAGGGCTTGCACAATACGCTGAAACGTACATGTCTAGACGCATTGTCTGGGCTTTCCTTTGCATACAAAGTATAGACATCAGGTGTTTAACAACACAACTGTTTCGTATATTTACACATGTTTTAACACAAAGTTGATTGTAACACAAGGTGGTTGTCGATTTTTTCAATTTTCAAAATTGTTTACTCATGCTGTGAGACTTGAACAGCAGTGATAGTAATGTGAGTGAATGTTGAGTAGTATCTAGTTAGTACTCATTACGCTACAGCATTAGGTTGAGGAGCTATAATGTAAAGTGTTTATGCAAATAAGATTTCACTGGGCAACTTTTAATTACGTATTATAGTAACTAGGGTCATTGATGCAGCATCATTTCCACATTAGCCAATATTTTAGATCTTAGTATGAATGACCGAATGAAACAATGCGAAAAATGGCCATGTAACTGCTGTCACTGCAATACTACAAAAGGCTACATGATTACGCTTTTTGCTTCATACAGCATCTGTAGCATGCACGATGCAGCCAGAGCGCAATGCCGGAGGCTAACATGCTTTAAAAATAATACTTTCCTGGGACAGACCAAACTGCTTGAGGCGACAAACCACATATGCTAGCTCGTCTTGCGCGTGTCCTCGGGGTACAACCCGCGAACAGAAAACACTTAAGATTGGGAGCACTAAGGTATAATAAAATGATCAAGAGGCAAATAGTACACCTGTAGGACGGAAGTTGGTACAGATGGAGAAAAACTGGAGAGAATGAGGTGCTATTTCACGCAATATGATTCTACTGAGGGCCTGTGGGAGCATGATTAACGAGAAGACGAACGGGCTCCGATAGGTGATCATCGGACCTAGGAGTTATCGCGAAGAAACAGGGGCGGGTGGTCCTGCGTACTTATTTTTAGAGAGCGATAAGGATGTCTCGCTTAACGCCTAATCACATTGAACTTAGGTCTTTAGCAATCCGCATACAAGAGTAGAATAATAATTGCGCGAAATCGGCACTATTTTCCCGTGACAACTCTAGGTATTATATTAGCATCTGCATATTATATATTATATATTACTTGTGATAGGGATATAGGTATGTATGATTATGATATATTATAATACTGGAATAATGATGGAGCTGAGACATCCTAGGGAATTGTTACGAGTCAGAGAATTTTGGGCAGAAATTGCATCTCGGGGAGCGTGCTTAAAATGCGCAGAAGACCCAGGATGCCAGCCGCACGACCTCGAGCCCCCCGCTCCCACGCTCCCCGCAGAAGGGCAGAGAATGTTTACTCACTGCCGTAGCCTCAGCGCAGCGGGGGGTGGGTGGGGGCCGGGGCACTTTTAAGCAAATAAGGGCTCGCGAGATATTTTTAAGGCGGGCTAATAATTTTTACAGGTTCACTAGCCCTGGGGTGCTACGTGAAGCATTGAGGTTAGTTTCATAAGCGCCTGGTGTCATAGCAAGATGGGCGTGCTCAGTATATTCGCGTCGACTTCGATTTTGAAAGTAAGCAGTGTTATCACTTAGTTTTAAAGTAAGGAGTAAGTGTGCGGGGATACATGAGTAAGGTTCGCCATGAGTTATAGTGCGGAGAAAGGGTCGTGTTGAGAATAAACCCAGTTTTGGAAGTTTCTAGTCCCTCTGAATAACGCACCAGGCAAACACCGGAGCGCGAGTGATATCACTCCTGCGGCATTCCTTCCGCCACAAAATGAGGTTAGAGGAGAGCGTGCTAACCTTATCCTTCTTGGTTTGGTTGGCTACAGTGATTGAGTAGTGGCATTTAGGCGTGGAAGTGGTTGCTGAGAGAGAGAGAGAAGAGGAGAGAGCGGGAGGAGGAGGGAGATGAAATGATAGGACGGCGAGCAAGCGTCCGCAGCGGTGGCGCAATCATGTGTGTTACGGCGAGTGTGCGAAGCAATGGGGGGGAAGCGATCACTGGTTGTGAAGTGGATGTTCTCGGAACGCGTTACCGGGGAGCGTCTAGGCGACGGTTCGGGAGGCCCCTACGCGTAGCCACTGTCGAATATTAAACGTTATCGTGGGACCAGAAAAGTCAGACCGTAGTCGGCCTGAGCTACAAAAACGGATAATTTGCGCGTGGGGTTGAGGAATACGCGTATTAGACGAATCCGTCTCAACGAGCGACTGGTCGGGGGTGGGCTGAGACCGTATCGCGCAGCGGGGAAGGCGTGAGTTGAGTACTTGTGCTGGAGGCTCGTCATCCCCTAGCAGAGGCCGCCGAGGACGAACTGTTGACGTGAGTCGTGTGTATGAATTGTTTGGAGTTTTAAACAGGTTCAACTAAGACAATATCGATACTAGTACTAATCTACTTACTACCCGTAGAGTCAACTGATAAACCTAAATGCCGACCAGGCGCTCTCGACTGTTACAACGACGGGAGAAAAGGAGGACCCTCTACGCCACGATAGTGTTAAGCGAGATGAGAACTTTGTGAGCGTGACTATAAACCGGTAAACGATGATCAAAACTGAGTGCTGGTTACAAAACAAAACCTTTGTAGTTGCTAGCAAAGAGTCCATTATACAAGTAAATGATGACAAGCCGCTTATGGCTTGCCATACATTTCGATGTCCACGCGCGACTACCAGCGGCCGACCAACGGCGAGTTAGGTCGCAGTTACCCTGCTGTTAGCTGCTAACAACAGTTATAGAATATAGTGCAAGACCGACACTCCGAAAGCGCATGCTTCGTGGAGCTAAAAAAACAAACATGATTTATTTATAGAGATCGTGATATCAATAACATTTTTATACTCATAAGAGGCGGTGGCATTGCTATAGTTAGCGTATGCACGAAATCTGACAGTACGCAAGTGTTAACATATAGTAACCATACTAGAACGAATGGGAATAAATACACTTTAAGCAAGAGGGCAAGTAACATTAGCTGTGCGCATGGAGCAGAGGGCGCTAGCGGCACCAGTATAACCGTTCATATAGAAATATAATTAGCCACCTCATAACCCCGTGTTAGAATTTCGTGCATGTAGAAAGTATAGTCAATATTTGTGCCCAAACCTGACTATAATGCAAGTTACTATTGCCGCAAAGTACGTGTAATGAAGCAATGATAAACAAATTGTCATATAGATCAGCATTACAATTCGATCTATAATTAAAATGGTTGCAATTTATATAGAGAGGCAGAATAAGTGTTTCGTTGTGGGTGATACGAAACAAGGAAAAAAACATTACTGCAGCGAATGGTCTTCATCGTAAGTATTATTCACGATAATTAAGTACTTATATTATATGGCTACTATTTTATTCATTATGTTAACTATAGCAATTAACCAGTATCTTCGTAACACACGCTAAGAAATGAAACAGCGAATCCTTGCATCCCCCATCACGCGGAACTGGCGTGTAAGCGATTCAGACAATCAACAACAATTATTGTGTTGGGGCCATTACACGGAGGGAAGCCAATTTGCGAAGGTTCTTTCTCTTACTAACTGGTTTAAAACATACAATTGTTTTCAACGGAAGAATAGCGTGATTTGGAGCGGGATATTTACAAAACAAGCTTGTTTATTAATCCTTGGGCATTTGGCGATACTTTATTTGATCACGCTGAAATAGAGTGTAATGGTCGGTGTAATAAGGGGCTGGAGTGAGGATGAGAAGGCTGCCGCACCTTACTCATGTGCATAGGCCTAAACCTTGGGAATTACGTGCTATAAATTCTAATTCCGTAAAGTGCAAGCATGAAATCAGCGTTCCTGCGCGTAGGGGAACAGGGGAGAAAAGTCCTCTACCTGCTGCGGGGGTGTCACCCTAGTTCTTTCTGAAACCATTAAAAAGTATGGCATGGGTGTGCATGCAGACGTTTTTGATGTTTCCGCCGCGAAAAATGATTGCGCAATATGTGCTACTTTCTCATGCCAATTTCGTCGTGGACCCTGAACTCACCGGTTGAGTCGGCAGGGGCGTAGTGGTATACAGCGGCGTGACGCAACATATAGGTCAAGGGGTAGTCCCATCTTATTGTATAATGATCTTTGGATTGTAAAGCGTATTTATTGCTATTCTTGGTGTACCTTGGATGAAACCGCTTTGGGTTGAAAAAAGGGGTCGTACTATCACGTGCCATAGCGTTTTTTTGGTTAGACTGGTACCCGTCCCTTCTCATAAGCTCAATATAAGCTATATCGAGCTTGTTTTGCTTTTTTTTGAAAAAAAAAAAGAGATGATTTACCTATAGTCTATTTCTTTCAGTGCTTTTTCGTAGGTGATGGATTGGTTAATACATGACTCTTTGGCGCCATCTAGGTAGTAAAAAAACAATATTTTAGAATTTCATGAAATTTCCCAGTGCTATTGGGACGGAGGATGGCGCCGGGACAGCAAAAAAGAAAGGCGGCGGTGCAATTTTTGGAATGAGTTTGTGGAGCAAGTGGGGGGGCGAAGTGTGCAAAAAATGCCATGTAGGCAAGAGAGCCTGTAGAATGATAGCAAACATTAAGAAATATAATATATATATATTGTATTTGTATTAGATATATAATATATATATATATATATATATATATATCAAGATATTTTTATTGTATCTTGTAAACCTTGATGAAACGAAGAGTAGAAAATTCCAGCGGATTCGTCCGAGGTTTACCGAAGTTGTGAAACCTTACGTACAGTTACAAGATTGTCATAAGTTCATAACAGTGCACAGGAATTCTTCGTGGAGTTTTTTGTTGTTATTTATAAATCAGTGTTATGATAGTAACTGTATTAGTATTATTTTGTACTTTTCAATTCGTAAAATGAATGCAAGTCCAAGTTTTCTGGTTGGCATTAGGAAATGTTCACAATGTATTCGTGTGGCGCTGCTTAAAGTATCGCGTTCGATTACACTTCGCGAATGCAATGTTGCCAATGGCAATGGCAATGGCAATGGCAATGGCAATGGCAATGGCAATGGTTTGTTGTCGTCGTCTCGCCCTACTACAGTCTTGGCTCGCAATTACTCAAATCTACATCATTATGAAGAACGTAAGTCATCCCCAAAGAAACCAATTTTGGACATGGATCCTAATGCGTTCGGTGGATGGATGAGGAAAAATAAAATTCGACGATGCTTCGCCGTTTATGATAGACATGCTGGTCATGTAAAGGTCTCTCATCCAGAACTCGAGGAACTAAAGCGAATGTTAGAGGAGTCAAAACACTATCATAATCATGAAGCTATCTTCATGAGCCTGGGGATTCGCACTGATGCACTGATGTGTGCTTTTATATGGAACACTTCTCGTGGCATTGCTGTACGTATATCTTTCAATTAAAACCAATTTATATGGCATAAGTCTGGTATTTTATCATGTGTACCATGGACCCCCACATTTGCGAAAATGAATTCTGGGTCACCAAACGATCCTTGATCCCACATATGACCACAGTGACATGTCTCTAGTGTAATATAAGGAGAAGGAATGAAATGCTTGCAACAGTTCAATGTCGAGACATCATGAAAAGCGAGGAAATTAATTTCAATTGCAGGGTGATGAGTAGATACAATAATGTAACCCAAACACTGGATAGGGTACACACATACCACATAGGGTACACACATACCTATCCTGTGTTTGGGTTACATTATTGTATCTAGGTGATGAGATATACCCCCTTTCATAAGATAACATGGCAGTTTGCTAGTTCTAAACAATCTAGTTAACATTTAATCCGTGTATAAAACACTCATATCTTCATCATGTCATCATATCGTTCATGTCCTTGTATTTTAGCAAGGAGGTGTAAGCATTCTACCTCATACAAGTATGAAGAATGTTCTTGAAAATGGACTGCATTCATCCATGATGACAGGCATTACAGCAGCCCTAGCAGGCTTGTGGTATGATAACTCTTTGGTGACATTGGGAGTAAATAATCGCAGAGAGGTTATTTATGACCTGATGTCATTATATCATGTGTCCATGATGTTGTGATAAGAATGTCATGATGTCATGATATCTTTATTAACATGTGTCCTAGTGACATATATCCTGTTATTTTCAGATGAGGAATTGTGGAAAATCCATATAGGTAGTGGCAGTTTAATTTTAATATGAATTGCAGATCTTTTCATGGTTTTATTTTTCTACTTGTATTTTTTTATTATTCACTGATACTAATAGGGGATCACGAGGGCAAGTGGGGGATATGTACAATTGCACAATGTACAAGGTGCAATTGTACATGTATAAACATGGTAACATATTGGCAACTTGGCAGATCAGAAATTGTTTTGGTGAAAGTTTGTATCTGTTCAATAAACAAGTACAGGAATAACCCTCGTAAAGGGAGCTTGCCCATACCGAATGTGAAAGTTATGGCCAGTAAACTCGGGAGGGATGCAAAATGTAATCATGTTTGCTCTTAGAATTTTTTTTTTGAAAAGAGTGGGCAGATTTTTAGGAGACTGGGCAGACTTAGGCATGCTCAGTTTCTAAGGAAAAATTCCATTGAGTAGGCTAGGCTTGACACTTTCACTAGTCACTGGTTGACACTAGTCACACCAAAGATCATAAAATGATAGTATCCTGAATGTTATAACTAGACAGAATTGTGTTTGAAATCAGAAAAATGTGCAATGCAATTTTTTTAAAGTATAATTTTGTAGGGTTGGAGGAGGCAGTTCAATCATAATTGAACCAAAGGTAGCAAGGCGACACCAACTAAGCTATAGGGAGAAGATGTTCTTTGATTTTGGAGATTTTTTAACCTCACTCAATGGATGTTACAGTAAGATAAACAACAGTCTCATCAACACTGTTCTGTCATGTGCTCCATCACAAACATAACGTAGGAGAATTCCTGTTCAATATGTTCGATCACGAATTGATACGATTTGGCTTTTTTTCGCAATATTGTTAGTTTTCAATAAATCAAGATAATTTGATACCACACGATACCTTTTTGTTGCATTGTCCAGTATAATGCGTTAATTAGAAGTGAAGCCGTGGAAATAGTAGCAGATCAACAGCAGGCCATGACTAGCCCGAGATAGTACTTATCACGTAATTTTTTTACTTTGCATTTTTCAGTTGCATCTGAGGATATAGGAACAACGACGATGGACATCACACATGCCCGAACCCGCAGTCGATACGTCACTGGTCTGTCTGAAGATCAAGGCGGGTGTGGAAATCCGTCTCATGCTACTACAAAAGGTCTGGCTCTACTAATGAATAGAAACCTCATTTTAGAGACTGATTAATAAGCTCTCATTTTTGAAATGGGGAGCTAGCACTAATGATACTGATCATAGAGTTAAAGAATCAACAGATTGAGCATTGCATATTCAAGCATAGGGTGTTGCATAAGCCTCTTCAAGTACACTTAACACATTTTGTGATTACGCTTATTTGAAAAAGATTTGAAAAGATTATTCCATGATTCGTCATCGGCTTGCACAATGAATTGTGTGTTTACATGTTTAGGGAATTGTCGACCTATACTAGTTATGCTGTATACATAGATTCTTGAGTTGGTAAAGCCTAGTAGCTTGAAGTATATATTTAGTGTCATAGTCATCTATATTGTCATTATGAATTTGAACTAAGGAAATCTTAGCAAAACTTCTTATCTAGTTATACCAAATTGTAGTTACACTTAATTGACATTCAGTCTGCGACGCATTCTTCGATATTGTCGTCTAGGTGTGATTTGTGCAATGGAGGCTACACTTGACTTTCTGAAGATGGGGACTCTTGAGAATAAGACTGTTGCTATTCAAGGGGCTGGGAATGTTGGTATGTCAATAATGTCATCGTCAGCGGCGTTTTTATATAATATACTTGTTACTTATCATACTAGGTTGTTTGCACGTTCCTCCTTCCAAAATAATACTTGTAGGATAAAGTATTTATTTTCCAGGTTTGACAGCTGCTAAAGTTTTGCATTACATATAACTTGAGATATGAGTTTTAATGTTTGCCTTATCTAGCCTTGTTAAGGAGGTTTAGCCTCAAGTATGCATTGTTTCAGCTAGTTGTGCCTCTATTTTCATGCTGTCTGGCCACAAATATGGAAAAATATGGAGCCACATTAAGTAATGATTGGTGTCAGTTAAGAGCTTTGGAATGGTGCAACTGTTCAGCTATGGATTGCGTTGCACTAGTCAAATGGTGTGTAAATTTGCGAATGTAAATATTGAATTTCGTTTAATATTATTGAGTGTATATAACCTGATTCTCATCATATAATTCTTCACCTGATGTGCTGACTTTTGATGTATTTACTATGTACATAACAAATACGTTTGTACATTAGGTCAACAATTGGTTTGTCAGTTGGTCGAGAAAGGCGTGTCTTCAATCCATGTGACAGATGTCCATGAGAACCAACTTGACAGTATTCGAAATCTACACGTCAGAGAGGTTTGTACAATTTTCAATGTTAATATTTTTTATAGTAATGTCTATCATTAACAGGTTAATGAATAGAAAATGTTATTGCATATATAAAGGTGAGAATGAGGGAGAGAGCGATAGAAAGAGGTGGTAGAGGGAGGGAGGGAGGGAGGGAGAAAGATGGTGGAAGGAGGGAGAGAGAGGGAGAGAGAGAGAGAGAGAGAGATAGAGAAAGAGAGAGTGAGAGAGAGAGCAAGAGAGGGAGACAGACAGACAGAGAAAGAAAGAGAGAGTGAGAGAGAAGGTGGGTGGATCAAGGGTGAAGGTGATATACATGGTTGGTGGAGTGAGGGAGGGAGAGAGAGTAAATATGCATGCATGTTAATTAAGTTTCACTTGTTCTTTTATCATTTAAATTGTCTTCTATCTTAGAGTCATGGAAGCATTGTATTGGAGAAAGTGCAAGAGTACGATACAGGGATATTTGCCCAGCCCTGCGATGTATTTGCGCCATGTGCAAGCACTGGTCTGACTCGCGTGAGTGACCTTCAACAGATATACACAAAACTTTCTGTATTATATCTTGGCATGTTTTATGATATTATATTTAATTATAGCAAATTTATCTTATTTTATAAAAGATAACCAAGTAAAATGCAGTTTTAAGTGTCTAGCATGTAAACAGAATGACATCTGATTGAATTATCAGAGAAAGCCCCAAAAATACCCAGATAGTGTCAGTAATTTGACGTAAATTTAATATTGGTTTGCATTATCGCTGGCAGGTGCTGACACACCGCACCATACCGCTACTGCGGGCGAGAATCGTGTGTGGTTCAGCCGTAAATCAACTCATGGATCTCAGTGATAGCAGGCTGCTTGCTGACATGGACATCACCCACATTTCTGATGTCATCACAAACCGCATGGTATGTACGTCTGGTGTCGGTAGCTGAAGCCTCGGAATTAATGCAATAACAGTGTAATATTTCAACATGAGAATGAATAAAATACTTATGCGCTATCACTTATAAGAAGATATTCTCTAAAGGGCGCTATTGTGAACTACTATTTCACCACCCTTATTCGATTAGCCTGTGAGGTAATGAGTTACAAATGTCAACTCCTCTAGCTGCTGTGGTTTCTATTGCATTGTCATGTTGTAGGCATTCAGTGATGCTATAGCAGAGATTTTCCTTTATTATAACAAGTGAGAGCGCACCGTGACCCTAACTATTACATGATGTACACACAATTTTATACTGGTGACTTGGTTTAACAAATGAGTTGTGTATAGTTTCATGCTTTGTCATTGTAGTAATGCTTGCAGTTCTGATTACCTGTAGGCATTGGTACACTACGCCAGCGAGCCATTTGGGAGACAACCAAACGATCCATTCATGGAGCGACATTTCGATCCAACGTGGGAGTACTCGGTGAGTCCAGTTTCTAGCCTTCTCCTAACAGATTTTAAGTGTAGAGAAATCATAGCTTAAAAGCTGATGACCAAGAGTTGTAATTATAGTATGTGACACACTGGCGCTCCGTGCAATTTTACGCATGCATTCGTTGGGCTAGTCGGGGAAACTGGTCTGTTATGCTTATTCGTAATGACTTACGTCGATTTTCAGATATACAACATGACACAGCAGATTCTCCAGAAATCGCAGGATGATGAGATATGTCCGTCTGAAGCGGCCACTGCTATTGGTGAGCAACTCTGCAAACAAGTGGATCCCGCATGGCCTAACAGAGGGTCCCAAATAATCTATGCATTGTTACGGTCAGGCTGGCACCAGCAGCAAGATTACTGGCGGAGGCGTAGCAACATGTATTGGAGTCATAGTATGGGGGTGTAGTTATGATTGTGTAATGAGCTGTGACCCATAGTCAGTTTAGAATAATGACAGCGATTTGATTGTTATGATAATTAGTTGCAGTAGTTACTGTGAATATCTTTTTAATGTGAGTTGCATGCTATATATTTATAACTCGGTTTAGCATTATAATAACTATGAATTGTGCTTTTATGACATGGATTTTACAATGGCTACACATTATTGAAACACAGATAATTATATAAACTGGTGTGTTCAAGTGTCAAACTATATATTTTTACTTCCAAACGGTTTTAAATCAAATACACATTTTTAATAAATCAAGAATCTCAGGGTTGTAGCAGGTATAATACTGGCAGGGAGGCTTTGGCTTATGTGCGCGCACACACACATGCATGTACATATCACGAGCATAAAATATACAAGCAGTATAATGCCCGTTTATCTGCATTTTAAATTATTTTTACTGTTCACATTTTGTATTCAATGAATACAGAAATGCATACTATGCCAATTCTATTTGATTTTATGCATTTCTCATTCACTTTGATTGTAGTGAAATTTGATGGCATCTCCTTTGTGTCACTGGTGAACATCAATGTGTCCCATGATTGCAATTACGACTGTGGTTGCTACGCAGACAAGGTTCAGCAGAGATATATTGTGTTTCATAATTAGATAATGACTTCAGTAATAATTATCATAATTATATAGTCATCATCATTGATCACTTATCCATACCAAATTTGGAAGAAATTGTTTATGTGCAGCAAACAGGTTTTAGAGTACTTATACATTTTATTTTCTTGAGGTGTGTTGTATGCAAATCACACACACACACATATATATATATATATATATATATATATATATATATATATAATACCAAGAGTTAATAATACATGATAATACATCAATGTATTATTAGTTCTTGATACTTTTACTACGATCTCAGGTTGATATTTATTACTGGTATTACTGCGATTTTTTACATAAGCTAATTACCTAATTCAAATATACTTAGATACATAGATATTTTTATGTTTTTATGTTACAGCTAGATGTGCAAAAACAGAGATGTATATTACATGAGAAGCTTGTGATGTATTTACTACATGGTATATCTTGTGCATTTGTTAATTGTATGATGGGCTGCAGTGAAGAGTCACGTCAGTTACATTCAATGGAAATAACTACTCAAATGACAGTGAAGTTGCATAAATCCAGACCTTTGCACAACTTTTCAAAAATGGTGTTTTATCCACTCCAAAAAAATTCTTAAATTCCTGTGCGTTTATTTGTGCTTTCATGTGGATAAAGTCGCACATTTATCCTCGATCACTTCATTAGTGCATCACTGATGTTCAATATATAATTCACAAAACCCAACGACATATATAAACCAGCGGATGAAATTTATTACAATTTTTGATTGTTGGAACAGGTAACAGGAACCAGTTTCCATACTAAAGACCTCACATGATTAAGGCACAAATTACGACCTGTATTATTGGGAAAATGAATACGACAAATGAGTAAATAACATGTACTACGACAGTGGACATTCAAGTTTTTTAACATCCGTGGTTAAAATTTCAATTCATGAAATACGACCTGCTTTATATTGCGAATTGGTATTTGCCTAGATTCCTTGTGCGACAGTTCGTCAATTTGTTTACATGATGTGATAACCTACATGAGGTTTAAAAATAATAATATTTGGCATAGTAAGAGATCGAGGTCTTTCATCGGGTGTATACTTACACTACAACTTGGTGGTAATGAAAACTCATCAGATATAAGATACACATGACATAAACACTGCACACAAGCATCATAACTATTGTGAAATTTGTCTAGTTTCACTGCGTTTTGTAAATGAAGACTAATAATCAATTCTATGTGAGATTCTATGCTTATCTAATGACAACCGTGTAATAATTGCTCAATGAATATACAAATACAGTCATAGCAGCCATAAGGATCCCCTCCCCCAATAAACAATAGTCAAACCTCTGTTATCCGAACATCAATTATCCGAATTTCGGATTATCCAGCAAGATCTAAAGGTCCCGTGAATATTTAATAAACCACTAAACCACCCGATATCCGAACAATCGGTTATCCGAACAAAATACTCCCTGCCCATCTCGTTCGGATAATCGAGGTCTAACTGTATATGTCAATTGTATCTAGTCAGACTCGTTGTACAAAGATATAGTGTAGTATATTGACCTGATGCTGTATATAAAGCACAGTTATGTTTTCCAGACTGTAATAATGCTAATTAACTTAGAGTGTGAGGAAGACACATCCATGACATATAAATAGGGTAGCTATACACAGACCTTGTAATGTGTAAAGGGCATATATATAATATATATGTTGTGAAAACCACGTACACAAATCACGTTATAAATAATCTTCTGTGGCTTAAATCAAACATACATCTAGTTACAATGATGTGCTATTTAGCCTAAACATGCAATATTGGATACACCCCGAGCAATAACATAATAAAATAGTACTGATAAAAAAGTAGCTTGCTTAGTGGTAAAAAATAAGTACATATGCTGTTACTAAACATATATCACCAATAGTATAATATGTAGTAGTGATATATTTTGGTATAAGCAACTAAAATGTACACACTATTATGACATTTACATAAAAATAAATCGTAAAAACCAAACGTGGCTTTAGAAAAATAAAAAAATAAAAAGCTTACGAAAGGCAAATAATATTTTGGCAGAATGGTATAAATACCTGACTGGTAATTAAATTTGAAAGGCTCCCACTAATATATTTTTTATTTTTACTGCTGTGAATTCATAAGAGTGGCTGACATTAGCATTTAAATGCTTACTGACTACACAACAATAGCATCACTACAGTGACAACTCTGCAACCATACCATTGCAACACCCAAGACTAAAAGTTGTTATCCCCCACCAGGCGCGGATTTAGGCCGGTTTGCACAGGTTTCCAGAAACCGGTCACAGGCCTCAAAATTCACCAGAATGCACCAAATATAGCCTAATTTTTTTTTTAATTACCGGGGGGGCATGCCCCCGGACCCCCCTAGCTGCAGAAGAACATATGGAAACTGGTCACCCAAACCCTCTGGATCCGCCCCTGCCCACCCCCCAGATACACCCAATATATTTCACCTAAGCATAAATATACTGACAGCTGGGAGCCACAAATAATTGATTTAAAAAAATTGCTAATAACTTGACCTAACAGATGCCTAACACATTTCTCGTAGTTGGGCGGCTGTGTGTTACAGTAGAGAGTCTGAGTCATGTGATTAGTGACATATGGCAAGTGCTGCTCTATAGATACAGCAGTAAGATAACACCGTGGAACTGTATCTAGGTTACACACACTATACAAACACTGGGATTTTTAATGGCATGATTTGAGCTATTTCTCACTGAAACTGTGTCATAATAATACGTATGCAGCGAGATCAAACCATGTGGAGAATAATCCCGAAAAATGGAGCAACGTTATTCTTTGACTGAAACATCATAGTGTAACATTCTAAAGATAGATGTGTACCACCTACAGGTGTACCGTACTGAATGGAGTCTGGATCTTACAGAAACACAGCCAGAAATCCCACAATGCCAACTAGCATGGGAATGATGTATGGTGTATGAACGGCGTGCCCACTTCTCCTCCTGCAAAATTTCATTCACAGTCCCTGTTAGAACAGGAAGTACCAGATCTTTTTAGATCTATAGCCTAGGCTATACAGTGATTTTTATATATGAATGGATCAGCAGGGCAGATTTACATGTCATTTTACCCGAATTCAATGGATAGCGGCCAAGACACAAGTACAGCTGTAGTTCACCGGAGAAACAGACTGTAATAGAAATGTGCATATTGCATTCTACCAGGAGCTAATAATGACAAATTTGTCATTATTAGCTCCTGATTCTACCCAATTTTCTCACCTAAATCATTTGAGAGACAAATTAGAAGCAGCTGGTAATATCTGCTCTGGCTGCCAATATGTTCCCAAAAACAATGGCTAACTATGATCACATTATGATAATTTTTGTGCCATTCAGTGGTTGTTTAAAATAGATATTGAAGCATGAAAGGCTAATACGATGTTATAATGTCATAAACCTTGCCTGGCCAAATAATAATATACCTGAATCTGCGAGGTGAAAGGGGTGTTGGTGGCATCTCTCCAGGAATAGTGGCATCAAAGAACTCAATCAGAAAACTCAGTGCTGCTCCACCAATGCTCATGGCCACAGCATATTTAAGTTTCTCCATATCTGTAAAAGTAACTTGCTGCTGATTGATGGGACCAGAAACATAGGGCCACTTGGTTATGGGGGGGGGATTGGAAGCTACTAAGGGAATATCAAAGGAATCCAAACAACCTAATGCACAAGTGCAACATATTCATTTTACTGCCTTTGTAGATACATATTCAAAGGATCAGCTAGATGAATACCATACTTAGGTATACTCTATCATGTTCGGCAGCTGAGAAAGCGATGTCCCAGCTGCGAAAGGCTATAATAAATAAATTATAATAACGGTACCACTAATACAGTAATAGCTAGACCTAAATCAATTTTAATTTTAAAATACACTATTCGTTTACTCACTCTGCGCGTGTACGTGAGTGTTGATTACGCGTCCCAGTGTAGTTATCATCTCATCGACAAGACGTTTGACCGTAACGTTGGCCGTGCTGATCGCAGTACTAAGGTAAGCCGCTGAGCCGCCCATTGTCTTCCAAACCTCCTCAGATACTGAGCTACCGGACACGAACGCAAAGCAGCCCAACATGCTTGATAATAACAATAATATGAATGTCGGTTTTAGGTATGGAAAACGCGTTTGAGTAGGACCAGTGCCAGCAGTGTCATTACCGGGCACCGCCTCCTTTCCTTTTGTTGACATTGTCGTTCTCATGATACTGCGCACACACAATATCGTTGATATACACTGTTTTCACTTATTTGCACATTTCATTTACATTCACAATCCATCTAACCACAAACAGTTACCCAGAAATAAACGAAAGGTATCAGGAATAAACGTTAGGTAGGTACGCAAGCTAAAGTAAACGCACTACACCAAAACAAACTCGGCATTTTTTCAACAAAAGTTTACGTTTACACAGCGCCATCTCTCGGCTACGCTCACGGAAAGGCCAACCCCATGGGGAGGGGGGTGTCACTGTTTGGACGACTTGTCACTTGCGTGTAAACTAATAGAAAATTTGTCTGAACAATAATTTTTAGTTTGTATACTATTTTTGATGACTGTTAACGACTTAGTAAGAAATAGTCGTTTATATTTCACACATGAGCATTGTTATTGAATGTCCATCGCTAGGGAACCCCCATGTCCATAATAGTTTCGTCCAAGTTAACGGAGAGGCGGAGCTTGCTCCATTTCCGCCTGATGAAAGAGGACGCGATTGAGCGGCCGGAAGTCGAGGTGGGCATTTTGGATTTCATCTATTCTTTCATTGCATGGTATTATACTCGGAAACTAGTGTTCGTTGTTAATTTGTGCGTGATTGCACCATGGGAGATCGCTACAATATTCACAGTCAATTAGAGCATCTGCAGTCAAAATATATTGGTACAGGCCACGCCGACACTACAAAGTGGGACTGGTTGGTCAATCAACACAGGTATCGCCATCGGTGCACTACCAGTGCCACTAACAATAGAATAGGCCACGTGCATAAACGTTCCGTTATAACTTATAAATCTATTAATACAAAAATATCATGTCTGAAATTTAAGTTTTTGTGTGCACTTTTAGGTTAGGATTTACACGTGCAGCAAGTAAACGTTAATTCCAGCATATAATTGATGGCTCTTGACACTTGTGTGCTATCTTTGACTTTGTTGGATACCACGCAGTGTGGTTATTAATATTATACACAATTTAGCATTTTGGTCGTGAACACACGAATTATTATCCTTAGGGGTTTGTCGTATCTTTTTACGGTTTTAGTGTTTATATTTATGCATTGCATTGTTTTATTTCAGAGACAGTTATGCTAGTTACATGGGCCATTATGATCTACTAAACTGCTTCGCAATCGCAGAGAATGAGTCCAAGGCGAGAGTGAGGTTCAATCTGATGGAGAAAATGCTACAACCCTGCGGCCCCCCTCCAGAGAAGCCTGAAGATTAACGAAAATGTAAAGATATACGCGAGTGTGCAGTGTTTGAGCTGGGCTGTGCTGTATATAAATGTGTTATTATGTAGTATTGTCACATGCAGTGTCTACAATAACACAAGTAATATACAATATATGCATTTATAATTTCAGAGCAGCGAATAATATAGGAGTATTCCAAAGATAGGCATTTCATTGCCATATAAAAGAATTCCATCTGATTT